TAAAAACATAAATAACATAACACAGCATAAAATAGTAGCCAAAAATAATCACAACACCTCACAATCAATATAACCAAAAAGCGGGTTCACCCAGACTATCAGGGCTCCGAGCTTGACAGCAAAGCCAAGCTTTTAATGTCTTGTGAAAGACCAGCAGAGTTGGGGCAAGTCTGACGTGGTGGAGGATAATGTCCCAAAGGGTGAGTGCCATGGCAGAAAAGGCTCTCCTCCTGGTCCCACCAGATGGCACTCTTTTGCAAAGGGGACTGAGGGCATGCCTCTTCTGCCAGATCTAACAGGATGGGTAGATACCACTGGGGAAAGATGGTCCCATAAGTAACACAGCCCCAAGGGCTTTAAAGGTAACCACCAGCACCTTGAATTGTATCCAGAAGCATAGTGGGAGCCAATGCAGCTTGTGGAGCAGGGGTGCCACATGTGCAAAGCAACTGCCACCCAAACTGTCCATGCCATTGCATTTTGCACCAGCTGCCCCTACTGCCACAAGGTAGGCCCTAATACCAGCTCTAACTCACATTCAGTCAGATTTGCACCATGTTGCTCCCGTGCAGCATGCCAGGCATCTCTTCACCCATTTCATCTCCCGCAACTCTTCTGTAAACCAAGAAGAGTTCTGGGATCCCCAGGTGGGGAGAGGCTGCTTGGGTGTGATCCAATCAAGAGCCCTCCCTGCCCTCTCATTCCAGGTGGCCATCAGGTATTTGGTTGGACTGAACAGCAGACAATCAGGAACAACCCCTAGCTCCATCTGGAACCCAATTTGGTCCATCAGTTGCCCGGGGTGGACCGATAGGTCCTGCCTCCCTGCGGTGAAGGGCAGCACCAGAGAACTGCAGGGCCATCAGAAAGTGATCTGACCATGATAGGGGAGAAACAGAAACCTCCCCCAATTCCAGATCATGCTGCCACTGCTCTGACACAAAAATCAGGTCAGGCAAATGACCACTTAGGGCCCTGGATGACCTGGGACAGGCCCATGGCTGTCATAGTGGCCATGAACTCCCAAACTACCTCAGACCCTACACCCAGGGAAGGCAAGTTAAAGTCCTCCAAGACCATAAGCCTAGGGAACTCCACTGCCAGCCCAGCCACAAAGTCAAGGAGCTCAGGCAGGGATGTTGCTACACAGCAGGGAGGCTGATACAATAGCAACAATCCAACTGATCCTTAGAATCCAGCTTAACAAATAGGGTCTTGCACCTGGCAATCTGTGGAGCAGCACCTCTGAAGGCCACCCAAAGTATCTTGGAAGACAATCACTATACCTCCAATCCTATCCTGGAGTCTTGGCTGATTGCTTGGAAATAGGCCCTTCGGCCCAGTAAAAAAAGTCAAAGATATTAGTGAGCATGGCAGAAGGCTAATGGGAGTGGTGGTGAAAGTATCACTTCTTTGCCTTCCAGTAAATTGATGTTTTGTGATGAGCCACCTCCATTTGATGGGAATTCTTATAGTATTCTCTCAACATTCCAAATGTGCCAACCAGCCCCCAAAGTTAGTCAATTTTGTTGGATCCAAGAGTAGAAGGCAGATAGCAGATATTCAGAGCCAGATAACCCTTTATTTATTAAGTATTCTATCCCTTCACTAGACTGTCACTAAAGCCTTGACTTGTGACCAAGATATGGCATTTGGTTGGCTGTGAAAAGCAAGTTGTGACAATAAGGCATAAAAGAACGATTTCTGTTCCATTTTCATATCTCTATTTTCAATTACCATTTCAATGAATACTCAGAATCACTTAAGTTAGGTTGAAAAGACAGGTAAAGAATAACCTCAGGAGTTTAATATGAGACTGATACTTGGGAGGTAGAATTATTCTGATTACATTGCTGATCAACTCTTTTTTGGTTTTGGGATCACTTATGCCTCAGTTCTCCCTTTGTACATGACTTTGTACTTGATTGTAAATCACTATGAGATACTACTATCTTTAAAGGGTTCTCAGGATGGTAAAGTCTACATGCTCAGTTTTCCAACAAAATGTGTTAACATCAGTCTTTGATTGCTTATTCCGAATCCCATGACAGCAGGTGTTGGTTGCAACAACTAATTTATGTTACAGAATAAGTAACATAATAAAAGGCTCTTCATGATGCAGTTTCTATCCTGGCTTCATACATTTCATTAGGCCACAATGTATTTGCTTGGTTTGGGCAGAGAATATTGGCCTGTACCTAGCTGCTGCAGTCTGTAGAAGCATAATTTATTTATTTATGCAATTTCTATAGCCACCCATCTCAATCCAAGTGACTCTGGGCAGCGAACAATTTCAATAATTAAAACCATTAAAACAATTACAAATTATACATATAGCCAGCTGAGAATTATCATAACAATTACATAAAAATCAACAGTGTAACCAGGTAACAGGACCCTTAACACTTTCAGGACCCCAGGCTCAGGCACGTAGCCAGGTTTTTAAAGCCTTACAAAAGGCTAGCAGGGTCGGGGCCATCCTGAGCGCCAAAGGAAGGATGTTCCAAAGGGCAGGGCTACTGCTGAGAAGGCCTGGCTTCTGGTCCCCACCAGCCGACATTCGTTGGCTGACGGGATCCGCAGCATCCCCAATCTACTAGATTGAATTGGACAGGTAGAAACTATTGAGGGAAGACAGTCCCTTAGGTATCCCGGTCTCAAGCCATGTAGGGCTTTAAAGGGGACAACCAGCACCTTGAATTGCACCCAGAAATACACCAGTAACCAATGCAGCCCCCATAATAGTGGTGTTACATATTAGTGTGATATAATACTCTGACAATATGCATAAAATTTCCAGGAAATATATAAAATTCTGAGTATCCTGTTCTTCAAAACAATGTCTATAACTGAGTCAACATTTTGCTTTTCAAATATGTATCTCTGCAACTGGATACATATCTCAACTACTTCTATCTATGAAGAGTGAAATGATTCAGAACATTATGTTCCTATTACTAAGAACCATACATACAATTTTCTGACATCAGCCAGCTTGTTCATAACTATGTATGTTCAATGCTATTTATCCTAGTATTTCAAAATGTATTAAGTAAAGTTTACTGGCATGTGTCAATGAAATAGCCTTTCGCCCTACAGACTTCACAGGTCTTTAACAGATGCTCTTTCTCTGGAATTGGATTTAACTAGCCTGGAACTGAGTACATCTGCTCTGTTTTTCTTACTGCCATCAGAACTGGAGGCTTGCAAAAATAAGTCAACAAACCATATTCAGAAGAAAATGTTGGCAAGCGCTGTTTATGATTCTTGGAAACACAAACAATTCCCAGGTAATCAGCAACATTTCCTGCTTCTGGAAATGACTCAAGTATTAAAGAAAATTCTTTGCACCAGCAGTCACAGAAAGCACTCAGCAACATTTCATTTTCTGGAGCCATATTTCTGACAATAAATTTCAGGTCTTCTGTAGCAAAACAGTTGTGAAATTTTAGTGAATAACCAGAGCATAGCCCCAGATCCACAGCAGGCACACAATGAGAAAAATTAAGAAACATCCTCCCCATCCCCAAAAGGGGAAGAAATATTATTATTGTCTGGTGTCTCCTCAATGTGTAATTAGACCTGAATTAAATAGAGGCAGCTCGCCTTCTCAGATAACGCTTGTTTCCCTCTTGCACATACACACACATATAGACCAACAAAGCATAAGAAACACAAACTGAATTCAAAAATGGCAAATGATGCTGTGGAACAGATCTTTAGTCTTAGACCTTTACCTCCTCTGACATATGTAGCACTATTTTTAATCCCCAGGATATAGAAGACTGAATCACAACACAAAGAAAGAATTGAATCCTAGATCACCAAAGCAGGTATCATGTCTCTAGCTATGTTAAAGATATTCTTATTGGGGCTTTGCTGGGGAATTATTATTAGTCTAAGATTTCTAATACTGATGCTTCTGTTTCAATCAGTTGTCCTTGATTATACAGTATATATATGTATACACATACATACATACACAAAGACTTCAGAAGAGCGTTACCTTAATTTATTGACAGTATTGAAGCAACCCTGAATGGTTTATTCTTACAAACCACAATACAAACAAAACACAATTATTTGGGTTCAGATGTCATGAAGAACTCTGGTTAGTTTACTGTAGAAGCTGCTCAGTGATCTGGACTTGGACGAGGACAAGGTGACCTTGTGCATGTGAGAGCACTGCACCTGTTGGCACCTCCTTCAATCAAATATGTCTTTTTCTAGAATCAAGATCACCGCACAGCCCTAAATGAGGGCTATATCCGGCCTCCAAGAATCTAGACAGCAACAACAAAATATAGGAAACTTTACCTCTTTGCTGCTACCTAATGGATATCGGGAGTTTTGCAACCCAAATACTGTAGGTCTAGCTTTAAAACTGTAAGTGAAAGTTTCCACTGTCTTTCTTGTAGGTTCAGAACAGAAGGTGAGAACAGGGAAAGGGAAGCATATGAGCTGAGAATAATCAGGGATTGTTAATGAGAGATCACCACTTCCCCTTATTTCTGAAATATACCATTGTATAACATAGGGGAGCTAAAAGGTTTCTCTGAAACTACGGTGTGAGTTACATGTAACACTAAGGCATAATGTAATGTGTTTGCTTTTGGCTTAGCATAATATGCAAACCTAAATATTAAGGCTTAACATTATCTGCAAACTACAGCACCATGGCTTGTTTAGCAAATCATGGATAACAAACCTTGGCATAGCTTTTATGCGAATATAATTTTAACTGGATAAGAAAACATGACACTGCTGCCAAAACACATGTTATTCAAACTTCTTAAAAGGGTATAGTTAAAAATAAGCACCATTTTTAAAAATCAGATAACAATAGGACATCAAATCAAAATTCACTGTAAAAGGATTATCCTGAAAATCAAGTGTCAAACACAGTCACTAATGAATGCCCACTATTTTTCTGGAGGTGTACAAATCCAAATGCTGTCATAAAGAAAGTAAACCTAATGCAAGAAAAAGGCAAATCTTACCTGTCTGAGCTGCTTAACATCACCAAATATCTTCATCACTCCATCAATCTCACGCTCTAGCCTTTGAGCCCAATTCTGCATTCTGCAAAAGAAAATTTAGAAGGTAGAGTCAGTGAAGTAGGTACATAAAAGAATATGGTTAAAAGTCAGCACTCACAGCTTAGCTAATATCCTTTGCTCTGATGTACAGAAGATCCAGCATGTCTGTTTTCCATGAAATGCAACTGCAGATTTATCAGTTGACCAAGGTACTAGATATACCATAAATATACATAAAGAGGACAAAAAATATAAACCAATAAAATAGTTAAGATCGGACTACCATTTCTGCTAAGAAGACAATGTAGAACTGGAGGGCCAGCTATTTCAATTCCTTTCAATGAAGATACACCTCTTACAGCATAGTGCTGATATAATCCACTCCAATTTTAAAAAGATAACTAGCTATATCAATTTTTTTTAAAAAGGGAGGGAAATGGGGGATATGGGAAGACTTGGGGACTTGCTCAACCTTCTAAAATGTTAGAAGTAAGAGCCTTAAAGGATGAATGCGTGTTACAGGGTCAAAATAGCATATTTGTGTTCTATAGAATTGCAGTGCTTAAGTTTAGCTCTAGCAACTGATTAATCTTCTATCACATCACAAGTGAAGGCCCTGAAAGTGAAAAAAGAGTAGAAATGTCTTTTTTTCCCCTTCAGTTCTGAATGTTCCTATCTGAATCTGCAGAGGCTGAAGCCATGAACAAGAACATTCCTCCTAATGAATGGGAATACACTGCAATGTTTTGCACATACTCACACATAATTAACTCAGGCTTATATTTATGCAAATTATGCAGTGCCTTCTGCCTCTTAATAGAAGTATACCTGTGAAGGTTGCAACAACCAGTTCTATCCCCAAGTAGGACATTCTGGCCCCTCATCCTCTCATTTCCATTTTTCTTTTCCTGCTGACATTTATAATTCTAGTATCTATAATGAAGCTCAAGCTCAGATATTTTGGTCACCTAATGAGAAGAGAGATCTCTTTGGAGAAGACCCTGATGCTGGAA